TTAACTTTTCCACGACATTCTAATTTATTGAGATGCACCTGTAGATAGATAGACAGACAGACAGATAGATAGAGTAGGATTTGGTGTGGGCATGGTTTGGTTTGCGATTGGCTGTTTTTACATTAATTGAAAAATATTTTTAGTTGATTGCTTGAACACACCTCTGAGAATATGATATATGACACAAAATAATGAGCTTTTACAATTTTGAAGTTAGGGGAACACCCATTTATTTTAAAACGTGTGAACATCGTCACAAACCATAGAGCATAGCCTACCCAGCTAAGAAATGTTTGGAAAAAATAATAATATATCACTTATCAGTTTGAGCCCGATTGAGAAGCAGAGGATATTATTGAAGAGGATCGTGCAGAACCTGTGCAAGCTCGGCTTTTAATGGTAGGCCTATGTTTTTTGTTTGTTGTTGTCTCATACTTTTAGATATGCTGTTATTTGTAAATGCTACTGCTTATGTTAGCTTTTAATATAAGGTTTTATCCTGATTAAAGCTTTAATACATTACAGCAATCGCATGCGCATCCATGTTTAATGTTTCTCATAGCTATGTGAAAATAAGTGTATAATTGTAATTTCATTATTAGTTTTTATTTTTGAAATATTTCTATTTAGCTTTAATTTATACTTGTTTCAGTTTTAGTCATTTTAGTACTTAAAAAAATTAATATTAGACAGAAAACTAAAGCTTAAAAAACAAAAATTTGAAATGTTTACTTAGCAACTTGATAAAATAAGTTTATTTTAGCTTAATTAACAAAAACAATTTTTAATAGTTTGTCTTCGTTAACTATAACAACTCTGCGCTACAGACATTACATTGAAACATTTGTTAACAAAAGCATATAAAACCAGCATGAATTCAAAGAGCATATGATTAAGAACTTAATACATCCATTTTAAACTAGATTTTTTTTATTTTCTCCAAGTTGTCATTGACCCTCCTACAGTCTAAATGCGAGGTAAGAAACATCTGAAATGGTCCTACATGTCACCGTTTGATTCCCTTAATGGACTAGATGAGACAATATTGTCCATCCCTGTCCACAACAAGGACAGATAACTTCAAATCAGTCACTTCATCTAGATAGAGATGTGCAACATGGTAAAGGTGAAGTCTGAGACTGAGACTAAAGGTGAAGGATCATGCAGGGCACATTCTAGCCCTCATGAAATCTAATGCTGGAGGCTGGAGAACACAGACACAATAAAGGACTTCAAAGGGCAGGTGCACAAACTTCATCTCCCAAACGTCAGAGCAGGGTTACCTCATGCGGTTAAGAAAAACACAATGTTTCCAAAGGAAGTAATGGTCAAGATGGTTCGCACTCACTTTAGCACTGAGGCAAGTCAAATCTTTCCGTAATGGGTACTATGTGACTATATTAGGATGTTTATGGTCACTGGACTTTGTCTCATGGTTGGTCTGCAAGAAAAAGTCCTGAATAAAGCCAAAAATGCAAGAAAAGGAAAATTTCTGTGGCACTACAGGCTGGGAAATACTGACAGGCTTGGATCACATTTCCATAAACAAATACTCAGCTTCCTGAACTTGCAAAATCCAGGAAAAGAAGCCAGGATTAATGCAACTCAACTTGTAAACACAGAACACACCTCCAAATACCTATTTAAACATGAAAATCTTCTAAAGACCGGCCCCTTACCATGACACAAACACACCTGACATGTTGAACATGGCCTAAACCATTTGCTTGTTACAATGAGTAAGATAATATATATAAAAAAACATATTGACAAAAGTCAAAAACTAGGCCAGACTGGTCTTAAAATTATGCATGACATAGATTTGTAGCAACAACAGGTCAAAATTGTTTATTGCAATTTGGTGCAAAGCCAGTTTGGCAAGGTTATGGGAAAAGCTAGACTGATTAAAAATATCAGAAGAGAATTAAAGTTTGATTTAAATGTAACTGAATTAAATTTATAATTGCCAAGTTTCTTGTATTTTTTTTAATAACTGAAAAATAAGCATTAGACTACGATACAAATTATATTGGTGAATATGTGTGTGTGAGCGCACGTGTGTGTATACATACACACATTATGAATGTATGCAGGCCTATATTTTATCGGTCAATCAGATTATCAGTATATCAGTCTCATGCACGCGCGCACGCACTCACAGAAGCTATATACAAACGCGTACATTTGGACATGTTGTCACACAAAGATTTAAAAAAAAACTTTTTAAAAACTTTAAAAGCTTATATGTTTTAAAATCTATTTTTTCTCCCTTACAATACAAATACATTTCAACGTTGTTGTTTTTTTCCATGTCTTATCTGTCAACAACCCAGTTACATAATAGCCTATATTGTTTAAAACGAGAAATCTCATTAAAGAACTGAATAAAATAGAGGAAGCTAGGCCTACATAAAAGCATTCAACCAACAACTTGCAAGTTTAAAAATGTACTTCAAATCAGGATATTGACCGTTGAAACATTGAACTCGCTTACCTACAACAACACACAGCACGTCCACCAGGACGAAGAGTTTCTTTTTCCTCAAGTCCGTCATAATTTATTTAGCTCGGACGCGCTTGAAAACTAGCACTTTAAAACTCACTTCATTTATGAGCTAATACCAAAGATAATCCACTTGGAAGAAGCAAAACAAACCGAACGAGACCAGAAATGCGAGTTCTTCCGGCTCTGCTGTTCTACCTGCGCTGTTCGCACTTCTCTTCAGCTCAGAGGTGACGGTGAAAGACGCGAGACCTTCACGACTTTATATAGCAAGAACTTCAAAGGGTGACGGCAGTGCCGCGTTGGTGCACATATTGCTTTTGTAAAAACGGACTGGTGTTCAACCCTCCGGCTGTTTTTTACAGACGCATCCACCTCTTTTCCAAAAGCACGCTAGGCTACTGCGTTCCCACTCGCGCTCTCGCAGTGTCCACACCTTGCCAGTGAGTGTGGGACGCGCCTGCGCAAACGCGCTGCGTGGCCAAATCACAGCTGCACTTTGAGCCGAAGCGCAACGGAATATGACACATCCATACTTTTATGGCATATCATTACGTAAACATGAACCTGGCCAATTATTTGTACTACATTTATCTGTCACATTAAATAGTTACATCCGTTGTTGACCATGTGGTGATTTACAAGTAGCCTATATCTGTGTGAAGTTTTTGAAAGAAGTCTCTTATGCTCACTAAGGCTGTATTTATTTGGTAAAAAAAAATACAGATAAAACTAATATTGTGAAATATTATTACAATTTAAAAGAACTTTTTTCTATTTGAATATATTTTAAAATGTAATTTACTCCTGTGACAAACCTTAAGAATTTTCAGCATCATTACTCCAGTCTGCCGTGTCACATGATGTTTCAGAAATCATTCCAGTGTGTTGATTTGGTGCTCAAGAAACATCTGATCATCAATAACAATTGTGATGCTTATTTATTAATACTTTTGTGGAAACTGTGATACATTTTTTTTCCAGGATTCTTTGATGAAAAGAATGTTTATAAGAACAGCATTTATTTAAAATATAAATCTTTGGTTACATTATAAATGTCTTTACTGTCACCTTTGATCATTTTAATCCATCCTTGCTGAATAAAATTATTAATTTGATTAATTTCTTACAAAAAAAGACCTCAAACCTTTTAATGTTATAGTGTAAATTAATTAATTATGAAGAATACTGATAGGTAAACCTGGGGCTAGTTGTCATTAGGTGTGTATCTCAACTATACAACAGTTTGTTTTCTAATTTTTTATTATTATTTACAAAATATAATAACAGGGACAATAAATCAATGTAACAGGAGCAGTAATACATAAATTGCTTCTTTTTTTTAAAGTGAAATAAGCCAAGGCAGTGTTTGCCTCCCTTTCGTATCTTCTGAAACTTGTGTAAACTATAGTCAAAACTTAAAGCGGACTAAACAATTAAAAAACACACTGAAGCGTACAGGGATATGGTGATGATGATGATGATGATACATGATGCTTTCAAATCATAACTAACAGAAGTCCAGTCACAAATGAGGTACTACACTAGATTTGACGTTGCCAGTTTTCTCTGGGTAGCAAAGGATTGTGGGTAATACGGTGAGCTGACAGGTTGTGGCTTCACGCAAATACAACAGACGCCCAAACTGGCTGCAAAACCTGAGAAACTTAATGCAGTGAATCCGCCACTTACATCAGGATTACATTTGTTGGCGAAGCATATGTGGAGCGTATATTCATAAACCATTAAAAAACCCTCTTCAACACTTAGTACTGAAGTACTGATGGACCAGACCGAGAGGGAAACGATCAGAGCCCCTGAGGAACTTGTATTTTTTTTATTGCACAAAGAGAACCTACGACGGGAAGCTAGAATCCCACAAAGGGTATCACAACAAACAACAGGACAAAGCGACTGCATTAGCAGTTCACTGGATGATATCTTCTTTAAAAGTGAAACATTTTATGTTTTAAAGAAATAGTTCAACCATGAAATTTTGCTGAAACTTTTCTGACCCTCAGACCATCCCAGATATAGAAGAGTTTGTTTCTTCATTGGAACAGATTTGGAGAAATTCAGCATTACATCACTTGTTCACCAATGTATCCTCTTCAGTGAATGGGTGCCGTCAGAATGAGAGTCCAAACAGCTGATAAAAACATCACAATAATCCACACTACTCCAGTCCTTTGATTAATGTATAGTGAAGTGAAAAGCTGCATGTTTGTAAGAAACAAATGCACTTAACTTCAAACCATGGCTTCCCGCTAAAAAATAATTCCTTTATCCATATATTGCTTTCTCCAGTGAGAAAATATGCACAGATCAAGCACCTTTTACAAGTGAAAGCAGTCCAAAACAGTTTTAAATAAATATGTCTGTGGATTTTGATGTGAGAGGACAAAAGGGGATGTACTTTTTCACTGGAAGAAGCGTTATTATGGTTTATGGGCTGGTATTAGAAGTTGAAATGTCTTAATGATTTGTTTCTTACAAACAAGCAGCTTTTCACGTCACAAGATGTTAACTGATGGACTGGAGTCATGTGGATTACTTGTGGATTATTGTGATGTTTTATCAGCTGTTTGGACTCTTATTCTGACGGCACCCATTCAGTGCAGAGCATCCATTGGTGAGCGAGTGATGTAAGTGCTAATTTCTCCAAATATGATGAAAAAACAAACTCATCTACAGTTTGGATGGCCTGAGGGTGAGTACATTTTCATTTTTGGGTGAACCATTCCTTTAACAAAAAGAAATAGGTCATTAAAAAAAATTGAAGTTTCAAAAGTTTACAAGATCTACATGCAATGAAAGGAACAATTTACTGTACAAGCAGTAAATTACTGAACAGTTACTGAAAATGAGTCTTACTGAGACCAAACAGCTCAAAGAGATGTAAACCCTCTCATATTTCCAAAGCTGCTTTAAATTAGGTAGTTAAAAACACTTTCATTGCATGTAGTAGTTTGACAGAGACAACCAGCTCCCTAAAACACCCAGTTACTGATTTAGTAGTTTAAAAGGCAACACACATGAAATATTATGAACACATTCTTTGATTAAAAGGATTGTTTACCAAACATTTAATTTCTATCATCATTTACTCACCCTTATGTTGTTCCAAACCTGTATGACCTACTTTCTTCAGTATTTAAGTCAATGGGGAACATTAGAAAAAGATCTGAAGATTAGATCAAGTTAGTGCACTTTTGGTAGCCATTGGATTAAATTTATGCTACCTTTATGCATTTTTTGGAGCGTGCAAGTTTTGGACCCTGTTGGCTTTCATTGTATGGAGAAAAACAGCTTCAAAATATCTTCTTTTGTGTTCCTCAGAAGAAATTCAAACAGCTTTGGAATGACATGAGGGTGAGTAAATGATGACAGAACGTTCTTTTTTGGTCAAACTATCCCTGTAATTCAGGCTTTTCTTACGTAACCTGAAAAGTGGCAACTGCAGTTTCCAGATGAATGAGAGTTGTCATATTTGCTTAGATCTGGAATGTTTTCCTTCGGTGAATGGGTGAGTCGCTGTGTTTGATGGGAGAGGAGCTGATGGAGTAAGGTGGGCACAAGAGGCTACCTATTATCCCAAAATCTGGGTTGGATGGGACAGGCGAGTACGGTGAAGAAAAGTCAATTTGAAGCCTTCTTGAGGCAATGTTCTCTGAGCAAGCAGGTGCAGGATCTTCAGGAAAAGACCCCAGTTGTAGCTGGTAAAAACCTGCTCCAAGGAGCCCTGAGTCTGGCTGAGAAGAAGGGACGGAGTGGCTACAGGGGAGAGAGGAGAGGTAAAGCTGGGTGGACGGGGAGGCCACGTCTGACGTCTGGAGCGCTGGTGGGTGAAACGAGAATTGGCTGAACGACTGCTGCCCCTGTGGGCTTGAGCAAGATCCTGCATATAGTTCCATCTCTCCATTGTTTCGCTCAGAACCTGGAAGAATGAACAGGCATAAAGAAAATGTGGTTGAATATTTGAGGGAAAAATAAAAGATGTATGAGTTTCTGTTGTACGTTGGCAAGAACCTTCTCAAGAAGTTCCACTCTGTTTATTATTGTAGTAGTGTTTGGGTCATACCTGTTATGCAGTTATTAGATTTAACTAGGGCTGCACGATTAGCGTTAAATATCGCATGCGATTAATCGTGCAGCCCTAGATTTAACAAATATGCTTTGGTCAAGTTCAGACACTTTAACCTAATGAAATACAGCTTAGTTATTTTCACAATGGTATGAAAATATAACAGGATGGAACTGAACAGGGTGTTAACAAATAGCTAAAGTTAGGGACTTGAAAGTTTATAACTACCTTTTGAGTTTTTGATATCATAATAGTGATGTTATTGTTAACTAAAACTATTGAAAATTATTTTTGGTTAATTGAAACAAGGCTGAGGTAAGTTATAAATAGTATAGTTGGAAAAACTTGAAAATTAAAAAAAAAGTTACCTTGGCAACTAAGTAAGTTTATATTATAACTAATTTTAAGTTGGTTAAAGTACTAAAACTGCTAAATCTAAACCTGAAATAGATTAAAGCTAAATAGAAATATTTAAAATAAAACTAATAAAAATGGCAAAAGCATTTAAAGAAAAAAATTAAAAGAAAACTTAAAATATAAAAAAACTTTCAAAATGTTATAAAATTCTAAAATAGCAATTACTGTAAATAATACTAATATAACACTGACGTAAACAAATAGCAAAAGTTAGGTTTCTTTAACCATATTGTGAAATTTTGATATGCACATTTCTGTAATTTTATCTAACAGGGTGGAATGTTTTAAAGTGAATAACAGGATGGAACAGGATACTGAGGACACAGGAAAAACATAATATAATTACAAATAAAAAAAAAGTTGTTTAAAACATTTTGATTATATAATATAAAATGGAAAAAAATGACTATTTCTTGAAACACTTTAGGGAATACTTCTTAATAAACTGCACATTTTTATGTACATGACTGAAGAGCAAAGCAAAAATGGCAACATTAACCCAAGCCAAAGTAGTACAATTATTTTAAATTTACCTCTATATTAATTATGATTAAATATAACTAATATGATTTCAAACTTTAAAATTTGTATTAGTTAAATATTTTTTGCATAATAATATATATCAGTTTAATATTTCATTCACTATATGAAGACATGTATGATATGGGCATGAAAATGTGCTGCATAACAGGAATGATCCATTTCCTGGGACATCTATATTTCTGTTTTTACCTGTGTATCTGTCAGTTTTAGGCTGTCAGTGAGCTGGAAGCTCAGGGCTTTAATAGGAAGCGCGACGTGCGTTTCCGTCGTGGCCGACCATGAAACTGAGCTGCACAATTCAGGCTGTCCTCTGGATCTTATAACCAAATTAAAGGCGACGGAACATAAAACAACACAAACACAATGGGAAAAATGCTGGCAGATGGAAAACAACAATGAAACAAATCATAACTCACTGACCATCCAGACCAAAATCAAGAAAAAAAATGTATTATGTTGGACATAAACAAATGAACATAAATGATGGTCGAAAATTAAGAAACCGGTACCAATGGATGGTTTCAATGAACTCATATGAATGTGGAAAGGTAAGTATAATATCCAAAAACTAGTAGAGCATACCTTGTTTATCCAGCTCCATGACTGCAGGTGGCGATGGAGGTTGGAGTTGAATGGAAGTCCTAATTGGCAAACCTTGAGTGGCACCTTCCAAATCACCAGTATTTCCATCTGGCCCAGCATCTTCTCTAAGAGAAACATATTTAAGTATCATCAGATCATTGTTTTAAAAAAGGTAAAAACTTCATATATTTTATCTTTAGTCTGACAAAATTTGTCCTGGTTCTTTTCATTTTTCATGCCCAAAAAAAAAAAGCCTGAACATTTTGTAAACAATTCAGATTAAAGGAGAAGTTCACCCAAAAATAAAATCTGTTTAAGATTTTCTGACGCTCAGGCAGTCCAAGATGTAGATAAATTTGTTTTCATCAGAACAGAATTGGAGAAATTTTGCCTTACATCACTTGCTCACCAATGGATCCACTGCAGCGAATGGGTGCCGTCAGAATGAGAGTCTTAACAGCTGATAAAAACCTCACAATAATCCACAAGTAATCCACACAAGTCCAGTTCATCAATGAATGTATTGTGAAGTAAAATGCTGCATGTTTGTAAGAAATCATTAAGACATCTGAATCAGGAGTCTGAATCAGAAGAGAAATATGCAGAGATCAATCACCATTTACAAGCAAAAACAGTCCAAACAGTTCTACATATATGTTGGTGGATTTTGATGTGAGAGGACAACAGGGGATAACGTTTTTCACTGGAGGAAGCGTTATTATGGATTATGGAATAATATTTTTGCCAGAAGTTTAAAGTTAAAACGCCTTAATGATAGATTTGTTTCTTATAAACACACATCTTTTCACTTCACAAGATGTTAATTGATAGAACGGAGTGGTGTGGATTACTTGTGGATTATTGTAATGTTTTTATCAGCTTTTTGAAATTTCATTCTGACGGTACCCATCCACTGCAGAGGATTCATTGGTGAGCAAGTTATGTAATGCTAATTTTGTCCAGATGAAGAAACAAACTCATCTACATCTTGGATGGCCTGAGGGTGCTTTCTATAGCTCTCACGGTACTTTGATGTCATACAACGTTCGATCTGCGCAGCACTGCTTCAAGTCGAACACACCTCTTATAGTGTTAGGGGAGGGGCCTTGCTCAGTGGTTCCAGTGTGTCATCGAGACATGATTTCAGGCCCACCCAAAAAATCCCATAAACAAAAATGGTGAAAAACTATTTAAAGGGTTAGTTCACCCAAAAATTAAAATTAGCTTGTGTTTTACTCACCCTCGAGGCATCCTAGGTGTATATGACTTTCTTCTTTCAGACAAATCCAGTCGGAGTTATATTAAAAATTGTTCTGGCTATTCCAAGCTCTATCATTGCAGTCAGCGGGTGTTGCAGTTGAACAGTCCACAAGTCGTCAAATAAAGCGCGCGCATCCATAATAAACGTGCCTCACTTGGCTCCGGGGGGTGAATAAAGGCCCCCTGTAGCGAATCCATGAGTTTTGTAAGAAAAATATCCATATTTCAAACGTAATAAACACTTTTCTCTCACTTCCGTTATCTGTCATTCGCTGAAGGCGTTCCGGCGTATGACATAGGACGTCTGCGTTGTGTGATTAGTGACGAATGCGGAGAGAGAACAAAACAAAACGCCGGTCACGAATTAGAAGTACAAACCGA